GGCTGAGGCCGCGTGGATGGACTCCATCACGGCTGCGAACCGGCTGCAGAGGTCGTAGGGGGAGTTGGGCCGGATCTTTGGGGGCTCCTTCAGCACGATGACGTCGGTGGAGCAGTCGAGGAGCCGGGGCAGTAGCTCGCCCAGCTTCATCTGCACCTTGGCTGTCGGGAGGAGAAGGCGAAACGGTCAGTGGCACCACAGCGGCAAACGGCCGGATGGCAGAGGGCTCTGGGGCTGCGAGCTCCAGAGCCATGACGCCATTTAGAGAATTGTCTTCCCGCGCCAAGAACCGCCCAGCCGCTGACGCTGGCCTGGGCGTCCCTCAACCCTCCATCCTGCCCAGGGCTCTGCGGGGATGAGTGGAGCTCCACTGCCACCTGCCTGCCCTGGGGACAGCACCAGGGCTGTCCCACCAGTGCAGTACACCTTCAGCATGACACCGCGCTGGCTGGCGAGTCAGAAGTGAACCCATTTCTCTTGACAAAAATGACCTGAGGGCAGGCATGGGAGCCTGACTCGGGATCTCAGAAGGAAACGCAGAACAAGAACAGCTACCCCAAACCAAAAGTCAGCTCTAAACCAACAAACCTCTCTTCAGAATGCAAAGATTCCCTGACTCTGCTCCCCCAGCAACTGGGGCCACTGACAAAACCTCATCCTCCCTCCTGAAGAAAAACCTCCGCAACAGCACCTGCCCCGCTATGGGCACCCTCTGTTTGGTAACGCGACAGAAAAACCAAAGCACATCTGGGTAATGCTCGGGCACTTTTCCTCCACGTTTCAGGGAAAAGGAGCCCTTCTTCTGCAGCTTTCCTGCAAAAGGAGATTAAATTCTTTTGTAACATAATTGAAAAGCATTCCTCCTCAAAACAGGAAGCGCCCCAACGTGCTGCAGTGCCAACGCCAGGAATGTAACGAGGTATTTGAAGAGGCTCCTTAATTAACGCCCCCCTAGTGCTGATCTTGATGCTGCCCTGCCCACAAATGACACGAGAGAAGAAAGGCCCGCGGCCGCTCCCTACCATCCATGTCCTCTCGTCCCAAGTAGGAGCACCAGCGGTTCCTCATGACCTCCATGGCATCCAGGTCCTCTTTGGAGACGTCGAAGCTGTTCATGAGGTGCATGCAGGGGATGATCAGCTCGTTCAGGATGCTGATACCCTCTGCCACGCGAGCTTCTTCAGAGCTTGCAAACAGAGACGCCGCCACCTCGTTCAGCTTCTGGAGGGAGGAGGGAGAATCGGGGCAGGCTTGTAAGAAGCAAGCAGGGACATCTCAGATCACCAGCGTGCTCTGAGGGAGGCACCCACGCCGGGCCCCTTCACTGACGGCCCCAGGGAGACGCGAAGATGAACAGGACCAGGCGCTGGGGTCTGGTGGAACAACCAGCAAGCTGGTTTTTTGTCCCTTGTGGAACAGGGCATCACCTTTTGCTCAGAGAAAGCCGTTAACATTGGAAAGAAGTGTGGGGGGGAAGCAAATGGGCAGAAAACAGTCCAAACCCAAGAGCACATTCAGGACAGAGAGTGCCGAGCTCTCGATACGCACCAGGAGACAATTCCTCCTGTACAAGGCGATCAGCGACTCGTTGACTCCTCTGTTGATGCCTTTCAGGAGCAGCTTGGCGTTGTTCTGGTAGGCGTAGACCAGGTAGGTGAGTGCCTCCTGGTACCTAGGGGAAGAGCGTGGTCCCTAGGGGAAGGGCGGCAGCTCCCCACCGTGGGGCCCTGCCGGCGCCATGGCCGCAGCGAGGGCGGTCGCGTCGGCTCAGGACATGTTTTCTGCCTGGCCTGAGCCACGACTACAATCATGCCCGACAGGAACAACTTCATTTCCCCGCCAAAGCATAAACAAACAAGTAATTAATGTTCCTTTTTGCCCCGTATGCTGAACGAGCAGCTTGGCAAGATATACAATATTTGTTAACCGAGGCTGACTGCGGATTCACGAATGGGCTGTTAGTGAGGGAAAAAGAAAGCCGTTGGCCTCCAATGCAAATCCCGAGTGGCCAAAAAGCCATCACGGGGCAGAAAGAAGTTCTGCCAAGGCAGCTTTTACTTTTAGGCTGTAGCTTATGTTATCCAAGCGCACAATGCAAAGTAACTTACTTGCTGTTCTGGTAGAGCTCCAACCCCGTGAGCAGGTAAACCGAGACCTTGCGGAAAAGGCTGTAGTCCTCGTGCCATCTCTGGAGGAGCGGCAGGAAAGCAGAGCGTCAGCTTCCCCGCTGCTCACACATCTCCCATTCCTGCACACCTCAGGCTCTACCCTCCAAGGGGTTTAAACATCTCTCGTCAGCAACGCACAACTCCGATTCTTTACCTTGTACTCCTCCATATTGACGTCATTGGGACCAATTTCTCGCAGCTTCGCTTGCGCTACCTTCATGATGCTAATCGACCTGCTCCGCGTAAGCAGAGATGAGAAAAATCAGAACAACTGCCCCGGCTGCTTCCAGGGGAGAAAAGCCTCGTCTTGGAATCCCCGGCACGAACCTTTCGTCGTAGCTGAGGTTCTTGTCTGCGAACTGCTCGAGAAGGGTCCGTTCCACCACTTGCTGGGGAGCGCTGTTTTGCAGGAGGTAAACGAGCACGTGCTGCAAGCGGGCGTCGTTGTGCGGGGCGGGTGTCTCTTTGGAAAGTAGGTAGAGCCGGGAGTACTCCTCGTGGAACGCCTGCTGGCCAGACATGCACGTTGGCACACCCGCCGGAACGCCCCGGTGGCCGACACGGAGATTAAACCTGTCCTGTGGGTGACACCCAGCTCCTCGTTCTACCCCAGCCATGCACGGACACCCATGAGCGCCAGGAATGCGAAACCAAAGGCACCTGCACCAGGGTGAGCCTCTCGGTGCCTCTTGGAGAGGGCACACAGAGCTGCTGCCTTCGTTCCGGTAAGCCTCTCGCAAGCGCCCAGCTCGTAAAAAGCGACTGCTGCACGCTTGTGTCTGCAGCACGGTGCCAGAGCACCTTGTGATTTATAGTCCCGGAGATGAACAGCACGGGTGATTTCTCCTGTGCCGCATTTTCAGTTAAATCTACCTGCCCGTAAAATCTAACGCCAGCTTCGATATCCAGCGCTGCCGCTTCTTTCAAATCCCTCTGTTGAACGCATTCTTGAGGACACATTTTACGAGAGGTCACACTAAGCATGCACGGCCAGCACCAAAAAAAGCTTTCACGAGCGCTGCTTTATTTTCTGGCAATCACACTGAGGACCTAGACAACCGATTCTGAAAGGCTCGCCAAGATAGCCCGCTTGTTATTACCCCGGTCAAGAGAACTGCCAACAGCAAAAGAACAAGCGGAGCAGATTGTCATGGGGAGAGAGCGGCCACAGAAGTGCAGGACAGAGGGGCCAACACCCAGGAGCACAGCGGTGCAAAGCATTCCCTTCCCATTCGCGGTGCATCACTCTAGCACCAACTCTTCGTTCTGAGAGACCATGCATCTGTACGACTGCATTTAGCGAACGAGGCGGGTACCTTAACGAGCCCCGCTTCAGACCCATCGCGATCAAAGGTCTGGCGGGCTTTGGCAATCGCCAGGATGACGCCTTGCATGGCTGGGCTCAGCATCACCTACCACGAGAGCAGGAAAACATACACAGACAAGAGAAACAGGAACAGACAGGGAAAGAAGAAAAGGCATGGTGAAGAACGGGAGAAACTCTTCAGAAGACAAGCTTTGAAGGAAATCGCAAAAATACAGGCGGAATAAGCCACAGCGGTGACTGCCTTGTCTGCTACCTGCTCCGTCTGTCATATGCACTGTACATGCAGGGGCTTTGTAAGCACTGCAAGGCCTGAAGGCTGCTCACTCCAAGCCGCCAGTTTGTGAATTCGGCAAGCGAGAATGTCAAGCGCCCTGGCCACATCCCGTTGGCGTGCCAATCCCCTCCAGCGACGTAAAGAAGAGAGCAGGGCTCGGGCAGAGCAGTTCATTGTGCCAGCAAGTCTTAAACATGCTCAAGTACATGCGTGAAACTCAGCTGCGCTCGGGGAGAAGGCTGAACTGCCGAAACGCTGCTCGAGTACGTCTGAGTGTGGTTAAGTAGCCAGATGCAAAAACTCAGTTGCCAGGGTGCGGTGAGTTGTGCTGTCAGCAGTCAGCGCCTTCGAGAGAGGGGACGGAAGCGCGAGTGCACG